GATAACCTTGTTGGTGGGCGATCTGTAATTACCTCTGTAAAGGCTCTCTGAGCCTGAAGGCATGTTTTGGCTCTAGTGAGTCTCCGGAACCCAACTCACCTAAACTTTTAGCTTATGAAAAAAAAAAAAAGTAAAAATTTGCTTAAAATTATCAGATTCATATCTGCACAACTTATTCACCACAATTCATGATGGGTTTTTACTGGGCATATATATTATGAAATAAGTAACTCGGATATTCAATATGTTTAAAATAATCATTAAAGCAGCGCAATTATATATCTATACAACAACAACAACAACAACAACAAACCTTATCCCACTAGGTGGGATCGGCTACATGAATCACACGACGCCATCATGCTCTGTTAACAACCCAATCCTTAGATATGTTATTGATTAGGAGGTCTCTTTCAATGACCTCATTCAACGTTCTTCTTGGTCTTCCCCTGCCTTTTTTTATGGGACTCCATCTTGTTTGATCCACCCTCCTCACCGGGGCCTCCAAAGGCCTTCTCTGCACATGTCCAAACCATCTTAAGCGATTTTCAACCATTTTCTCTTGGATAGGTGCCACACCAACTCTTGTCCTGATCTTTTCATTTCGAATCCTATCTTTTCTTGTATAACCACACATCCATCTCAACATCCTCATTTCTGCTACTCCGACTTTGTGCTTTTGTTTTCCCTTTATTGGCCAACATTCACTACCATACATCATAGCTGGTCTTATAGCAGTTCGATAAAATTTTCCTTTAAGTTTCTCAGGTACCTTCTTATCACAAATAACTCCGATAGCTTTCCTCCACTTTAACCAGCCAGCTTGTATTCTATGAGAAATGTCTCCATCAATTATATATCTATACCTTTAAGCAAATTCTATCTGCGCCATAACTTCTAGAGTGCTAACGTAGACGTTACTTACTGGCTAATCAACATGTGGGCCAAAGCCAAACTATTCAGTTAACCCCCCACCAACTTGATTAACGGCCCCTTTGATTGTTGTACAGAATTTAGGACGAAGCCATAATCATCACCGCTTAAAAGTTGCAGTTTCAACTTTACCAGTTACCTAAATAACTTGGATTCTTTCCACTTTCTTTCCCATTCTCTTCTCCTCCACTATCTTTTTTTTTCCTTAACAACTATTGAATCAAAACTCCAAGGATGCAGATTTAATATTTTATAAAAATAAATATTATTATTAAAAATAGATATATAAATTTAAACTGCTAAAATTTGATCTGATCAATTCATAACTGCAGGCTATAATTATAGAGCAAATTTTTTTCAATTTTTTATTACAGTTATGAACTATTCATACTGAAAAGACCTCTTCTTAATATATAACTATAAAACCATTTTTAAAATGATAACCATGGTAGAAAAAGAATTGAGTTAGAGTGTTAAAATACTACCATAGTTATAAAGAGTTTAACTTATTTGAAAACATTCCAAGTGGCTCAGGATACATAAAACACCCATGGGTTTAACAACGTAGAACAAAGCCTTAGGACACAATAATCGCCCATAAGCCCACCATAACATTCATCCCAAAAAGACTTAGGGTACAAGAGACATAGGGTGCTTAACCCAGCTCACAAGTCATACACATAAGAGTATCACATATAGCAGAGTCTTATGACCTTCAGCCATTTTAACAGCATTCCATCAAATACAGTCATCCAAACAAAAGAAAGTATATGTCAACACAGTTGTGGGTCCTAAAATGGCAATATACATAACATTACATGCCTAAACCAAAAGAGGACTACTAGGCTATGCTCGCCTATGCCTCTGGTTGCTTCCCTTCGCGCCGAGCCAAACTAGATGGCTCTCCTAAAAAGCATTGAAGGAATAGCGGGGTGAGACGTAAAGTCCCAGTAATCAAGTATTAATTTATGACATATACAAGTAGGATGGCAAGTTGGTGAAGTAGTGCTTAAATAGAGTTTAAGAAATAAATGATACTTTAATAGATACAATCACATAAAAAGAGTATATCTCTTCATCCACAACGCAACTCATATAAAAGTACATAGATGCAACAACACAATGAAATATGCCCTCCCATCACCTTGCTCCTCCTTATGACTCCTTGATAAGGACCTGAGCTTTCTGTGCTAAGTAACCCGGTCAAAGGTCACCCCACTCACATCAAGCAATGGGCCCCCTCTTGTACCTACACCGCCCAAGAATGGACTATGGTGCAAGAGGTGTCTACCCAAGAGTTTGTTATCAATTCCGGGCCAAGGAAAAGGAAGAACTACAGGGGTCTAACAAAAAAGCCAAACACTGGGATCCGTAGTGTAGGCATGCCGTGCGGATTTCAAGAACAATTATCCTCCATATAACAAAATCCCATCCTCCACATATGAACCCCATGCATAGTCACAATATGAACCAAAATATCATAATCTTCAAAGTAAGATGATATAATTTCAAACAAAGTATAACACATTTTCATTTCATTTAATAACATAATATTAGCATATTAAAATTCAGTACCACAAGAAGACATAATTTCCCATAAAACACAACTCAAGCATAATTAAATCAACATACTTCCCACTTCACCAAAATTTGTCATATAACAAAATATATATTTTATTCATAGGCATACTTTCACAAATTAACTTGAGAAAATAAAAACATAATAAACACTTTACAATTCCAAGGCATGTATATAAAATAAATTAACCCCAGTTACCTCTACTCCAAGCTTAACCTCATAGCTTGAGAAATAAGAGCACAAATTACAAACTCCGAAGTACAAGATAATCTACAAATAATATAGATATAATTTAATATGCAAACAAATAATTAACTTAAATTACATAGAATTTATTATTAATAATATTTATACATATATTTACTATCCAAAAATTCTTACTTCAAATAACAATTTTTCTCTACCCAAATAACTCATTTAAATTATAACTATTTATAAAATATGGTTTTTATCTAATATTGTAAGAATCTCAATTTATAACTTAAGTTTCTAGTTTCAAAATTTTTCTAATAATATAGTCTTAACCTATTTTACATTTTAAACTGATTAAAATATCAATAATATATTAAGTAACACAAATAAGTTATTTAACTTAAATTTAATCAGTAAAAACATTCTATATATTTTGAATAATACATTTTCCAACCAAAATCTTAGTTTAAAATTCTCAAAACAATCAATAAACAACTATAAACCGATTAAAATTTCAATAATATATCAAACAACCCAAATAAATTATTTAACTTAATTTTAATCGGTATAAATATAATATATATCATAATTGACAGATTTTCAACAAAATAAATTTGATTTTAAATATCATAGGTAATAAATGGACAAATCTAAACCGATTAAAATTTCTTAATACTAAATCTTTAAATTTCTACGGTCAAATATTTTCGAAACTCAATACTTACTCTATACCCAAATCACAAAATTTTCTCCAAACATTATAATGATACTACTAATATAAAACTCTAAATATATAGAAAATATTCATAAAGAAAAATCTAATAGAAAGAAGTGTTTTTATGTACCTAAATGATCCCCAAATGCTAGCACGTACTTGCAGAAATCTTCACTCACTCTCTTGTTCTTTTTCTTCCTGCGTCTCTCACCCTCTCTTTCTCTACTCTACATAACACTTTTTCCTCTATTTATCCTTCTCATTTCAACCGTCCACTCCAAATTTTCTACCTTCATTTATTATCCTTCCCCATTTTTCCTCCTCCCTCTTTAATTACCCGCTTCAAAATTCTTCTTCACCTTCAATTCACCCTGCTTTTCCACCGACTTTGGTGGAAAAGTTGGGGTGTGTTGTTTTTTTTTTTTTAATATTAATAAAATATTATTATTTAATATATATTTTTTTTGAAAAAATAAATTTTTTTTCAAGGATGTTACACATACCAAAGTTTAATAGTTTAAATTTATTTATTTTTTTAATAACATTATTTTTATAAGATATTAAATCTGAACCATTAAAATTTTGATCCAATAGTTATGAAGGGAGAAAAAGAGTAGTAGACAGAGAGAGGATGGAAAGGGTAGTAAAGAGAATCCTAGTCTTACCTGAAGCATTCACTTGTTTCCATGTAATTACAAAATGGGGTTTTGTACTTCAGCAAGAACTTTATGCTCCATTAATTAGTAAAGACAAATTACAAAATGATTAGAGATAATACGAAAACCCCTCTCGACATCCATGGGATATTGATCAAACGTACCAGAATTTATTTTTTTTCCCTTTCCATATATAAGCCTGTTTATGTGTGAGTCCATTTATAAAATGAAAATGTACATTTTACAAATGGAAATAGAAGTTGGAAAAAAGGGATTTTGCGCTCGAGGTTTTAATTTATTTACCGAGCGGGGGCTAAACATGACACGGTGAAAAAGTGGGGTTAGCTTGGATCGCTTTCCAGTTTCCGGCGGTACTCATGTTTAATGGAATTTTATGAACAAGCGTGCTGTGAACGAATGGGTCATGGGTGGAGGAAATTAGCGTGTAAGCCGAAGCGGGCAAGAGTCCAAATAGACGAAGCCACCAGAAGAAGAGAGAGAAGCAATCCCAAGCAAGCGAGAAGCAGATTAAAGCACCACACATAACCCCCTTTCGGAGGCTTCCTGATGGCCACCCACATGAGGCATGGGTACGCATACGTCACGGGCACTAGAGTCATCCCTCCCAGCAGAGCACCCAGCTTTGGCAAGAACGGAAACGTCACCGCTATGAACAAAGTCAATGCTCCCAACATTAATCTCAAGCAGCTCCTTACTAATCTTGGGCATCTCTTGTTCTTTGCGTTTATGTATCTCTGCTCCAGGTTGTCGAACGCAGGCATGGCATAGACTTGGAAGCTGCTCAAGCAATGTATTGTTATCAGCACGTACAGGAACCTCATCGTGAACTTCGTCACTTGATGCCCATGGAATTCTGCGAACGCGCTCGCCATTCCTCCCTCCCTTATCTGCAAATTCAATTAAAAGCCTCTCCTTTATTTTACCCTACAGAGGATACCACTGAGTTAACATAGTGGAACTCAACAAGGTTGCGCTTGCTTGCCTGGTTTCCATATGCCCAGCATCCTGCAATCGCCAGCGGAAACACACACATGGCTATCACTGCATATGACACCATCACTCCTTTTCGCATTAATTCCTTGGATGGTTTCTCTGGACTTGAAGGCAGCGTCCCCTGCAATTCAAAACACGTGAGAAATACGTCAATCAACGAACCTTAAAGAGAGGATTCTCTCTGAAGCAAAAAAAAAAAAAACAAAGAAAGAGCACTCGCCTGAATCTCAAGCATAACATTATGGCCTCTGAATGACAGGACAATGATGCCAATGGAGTTGATAATCTCAGAGATGTTAGAAACAGCGGAGTGATCATGTCCAGGCCGGGAGAGGGAGGAAGCGTATGAAACGGAGGTGGGCCTGCCTTTGGAGAGGGAGAGAACCCAGAACAAGGTACAGTAGGTGACGGCGCTGATGGCCCCGACGAGAGATACGCCGGCAACGGAGTTCAGACTGGGCGTTAATTGTGCGATGAGGATGGCTATGGACGTGAACACCAAGAACCAGAGGACCCCGCTGAACGGGTGCGCGTGGCACTCGTCTTTGGGACAAATGGTGTTGAAAAATAGCTGCATGGTTCTACCTCCCGTGATGATGAGCATCACGCAGCTTCCTCCCGATAGATACATCACCGGGAATAATGCTGCTGCCGTACCTACCCTTCGACCTGCACGTTAAAGAAGAATATCCCCTTTAATTTATTCCAACAGCCATATTTCTCCCCTTCAACCAATAAGGTAAGTAATTTCGTGGCTAAATAAGGAACTACCAAAGGCGGCCATGGCGAGGAAAAGGAATCTGCTGTGGCGAACTCCGGGGACGGATTCGTGGAGCAGAAGAAGGAGGAATATGGTGTACAGCTGCCAAACAAATGCCACCGACAGGCATACGCTACCCCATGCCCTGCATAACTCTCTCGTTATACTCAAATATGTTGACCGTCGGGTCAACCTTGGATCTCTACAATGTACATGAACTGGGAAGGTCGTGACGGTAGCTATCGAGATCCAGTTCATTATTAATAAAGCTAGTTGCCAAAAGTATATACATGCATATACCAAGAATTCTGGGGGCCCTTACGCCATGAGATGCATCCTAACAAAAAAATATAATAAAGCTGTATGTGCATGCATAGACATATATGACTGAGGAAAAAGCTAGCGATTTCCGTAGTGTATGAAGAATGAGAGGAACGTACCAGCCAAGAGTGGCGAAGGCAAAGGGAAGCACGCCGAGGGCTTGGAAGGCGAGGTTGGAATTGAGGATGTGAAAAGCAGCAAAGAAGGAATTACCGCGTGTTGACTGGGTAAGGGGGAGCCATGAATCTTTGGTGGGAGGTTGGGGGTGGTGGTGGTGGTGATCATCATCGGAGTGAGGCGACAGAACATTTTCCGGCGACGTGTGCTGTTGAGTCTCTTTTTCCATATCCAATTAGTTTGGGTTGATTATAGATTGAAGATATGATATGTGTGCCCGGGAATCAGTTAACGGCCAAAGTTTAACAAATGAGTTGTGTAGTGAGTCAAGCCCTTCCCCCCATTCCTATATACACCTCCGATGGCCATCTACAGGAGTCATGACATCATTGGTTTGATGTCACCTACTGACGTCGTATAAACCCCGTACCCACAGCTAGTTTGTTAGAAACCAATCTCACTGCATTTTAAACTCATCATTTTAAACTCATCGGATCTGAATCATTTATATCTCATTTGAATAGTCAGAATTTATTTTTTTATTTTTATTTATTCAAAATAATTATTTTAATATGAATGAAATGTAAAACAAAGATAACCTCTTAACTATTTTTTAAAAAAAAATAGTTTTTTTATTTAAACTAATCAATTAAAAATTTTAAATGTAGACAGTTCAAACCAGATATAGATCGTTCAGATTTGGTGAGTTTAAAATACTCATCAAAATGATGAGCACCAAAATCGATTCCCTAGTTTGTTATGGCCAGCTCTTTCAATAATTTATTTTATTGTTTCTTACCTCACCACTACATGTTATATTTCATTTCCTTCATGCCACTTTCTTCTCTCTCAATATTTTAATATTGCCGAATAAAATTTATAATAGACAGACTGTTTATAAATTATAAACAATAATGCCGCTCTTTTTTTTTTTAATGACCATGCATGCGCGTTTAATTTTGAGAAATAGATAAGGCAATCTTTTCTTAAAAAATAAGTATGTTGGCATCCTTTTAAAAAGAAAAAGATAGGAATGTGCTTTGATATAGGAGGAAGCATGTGTCGCATGAGGATAAAAGAAAGGAGGAAAATCTGAAAAAGGGAAATTAAAGACGTAGGTAGGTAGGGGTGGTAATACAACCTTAACCCGGGGTGGGGCGGGGAGCGTATGAACTTGCGATGGGAATTGAGAACTTGCTTCACAATTTCCCCCAACATTAAAATTCTTCGCCCTCCTTTCCTCTAGACTTCTGCCACACGGTCCATACCTTGTTTATTGTTGTTGTACGTTCTTATTGTGTAAACATACAGTGATGTAACAATTTTAAATGTGCAATTTATTAAAATAACAACACAACTTGTTATAAATAATGTGATGTGCTGTGCAACGCCCAAGCAACAATGTCAATATAATCAATGAATCACTTAACGTTCTTTTGTCTTTTGTCGCTTGCATTTATGATCTCTGTTTGTTGGAATGACTTCTGAGGTCTTGGCTTAATTTGTTGTGATTTTAGTTTACCACGACTTCGTCTTCCTCTAAGTATACACATCCATACTAAAAATCCTTGTTTTTTTCCCCTCTCATTTTGTTTCACTATAATTTACCCAACTTTAATTTCCGAGTCTTTCACAGCCCCCCAAGTTTGACAGCCCACCGGACTGCATCATAAGCGATTTTTCTTCCTTCTCAATATACTCACTTGGAAAATAATTAAAGCTAGCTAGTCGTAAAATTTTAAGCGTATGTCATATAAAATTGGAACAAATATACGAAGAATGGGATTCACAGTCATGGGGGTGGAATTAGTGGAAGCTGCATTGTGGCCACTGCCTCAAAGCCCCAAATTGGACATCAGAGCCGTCCCTTTCTTAGAGAAGTAGTGAATGACATTTTCATTTCTACAAGTGGTGCACTTTATGGGGATATATCTGATCTCTCTTTTTCTAGACCATACATGACCGACAACGTAACTTACACAAAGGTTCCACTATGGAGTCACATGATTATATGTTGTTGGATTAATTAATTAACATGTAGATGCATATATAGAGTACGTTATGGGTTGAGAAGAATAGAATTACTGGCACAGGCTTCATGAATGAACTAACTAGTATGTAATTCATTTGGCTCAATAGCGTCAATATATATATATATATATATATATATAACGAACGACCATATATATAGATTAAAATTCTAACAAGCTAAGGAGCCAATTAAGTTGATGACGCCTCTTCCATTTCATTAGAGAAATCAAGAGAGAAAGGAAAGAAGGAGGTAGGGGAACACTAATTTCCAAATTTCAAGTAATGATTGAAATGAGAGGAAATGAACGAGAGAAAATGCTGGGAAGTGGAGGTGACGTGTGTTAGGAATTGGGTGCGCACCAATTCCCAATACTGGCATTAAAATATCCAAATCCAAACAACTAATTAATTCAGATCACTGCCCCTCATGACCCTCCGCCTTCCATCGCCAGCAGCTGCATGTACTAGCTCTATTTTCAGTTGCATGTTTTCCTCTCACCAGTAATTATCCACATACAATACAATACAACCTGGTCTTTTTGAAAAAAATCACTCTCCTTCCAGAATATCTCGTACTCTTGAACATTAAAAATATTTTCTTTTCCAAAAGGAAGTTTCATACATTTGACTAGCCTGGTCTTGATGACGTACGTCAGTAAATTAAAAGAGTCCAAATTAAATGCAATCAGCTTGCTTTCCAGTCTGATTTTAATATTCCATCTGGATCTTGTGCATGTGATCATCACGTCATCAAGAAAGATAATTTATGCTATCAACATATTGATCAATGTTCTAGTAAAAATGGATATTATTTCATTTGTTTTCATCATGGATGTGTTCCATGAAGTGCCTAACGCAATACTCAAGCTCGGTCCGGGGGAAAGGACTTCCATTCTGTGCCGTCGTGTTTGGGTTGGATGTGTAAAAGGCATTGCTTTTGCCAATGGCCTTGTGATTTAATTATATAAAATTAAGGCTTCCTCTGATCTATAAATGAGGAGTTCGGTGTTTGATTGTACTTGTAATTGTAATTTAAGCCATTAGCACTTGACCCTTCAATTAAAATAAAATTACGTTGTCCCTGATCGAGCCAGCAACCAATAACACTATCCAAAGTGATGGTAGGTGACATGGATATAAGTTCATTAGTGCGACTGGAAATGCTTTGCGTCCCACTTTTACACGAGGGCCAGCAACAAAACTTTAGATTCACATTTGTTCACATCCTCGTGTATTGCACAACTCATAACAAACAACTTCTGAAGCACGGCGTCCAATTTCCTATCTCTCCTCAATGATTTATTTCATAGCGCGGTTGAAATATAGGGGTGTACGTGGTGGGAACTCTAGTGGAGTGGTGGTTGTCATCAATAATGTGCACCTCATGATCACTGACCATTGATCAGTAGCGTAAATCAAACATCAAATCCTTTTCACCCGTCTTTCTCATCTCAAAATCAAAAATGGCGTTGCAACTCAGGAGGGCCAAGCTAAGGATTGAATGTTTCTTTAATAAAGTAGGGAGCAGAAGACAGTGCACCACTGAATCTCTTGGCCATGCAGGATTCACGCGTGAATAAAAAGCTACATGCCCTCAGACAGGATTTCAAAAGACATATAGAACTGTAGTGTAGAAATAAGATCCTCGTTTGTTTGACATGGGATTGGAACACGCAAGGCCTAATTCTTGTGTTTCTGGTGATTTACAGGACCGTAAGATACTGTTTGATATGAGAAAAATAGAAGAAAGAGAAGAAGAAATTTTTTTAATAAACTCTATTTAAAAAATTAAAGAAGTAGGGTTTTAAAATTTTAATAATAAAGAGAATAAGTAGCATAAAAGAGTAGTAAAAATAAATTAAAGGATTTAAACCTCACTTTTTTAATTTTTTAAATCCAGCTTGTTAAAATATTTTCCCCTCTATTTCTCTCGTACCAAACGGGTCCTAAAAGCAGATGACACAACGGTTAACTCGATATTAAAGATGATTCTGAATACTTGATTTAAAGACATTAGAGCAGATCGTCAAAAGCCGTAGATGGTAGGTTGTCGTGTGAGGAGAAGAGGATGATGAGGAGAGCAGGGGAGGGCGTGGCACGTAGACATGGTAGAGAAAGAGATCAAAGCCTTCTCTACGTCTTCAGGCACACGTTCTCCCACTAACGACATGACGTACTCCAACATGGTGCCATCGATTGGCAGCGTAATGGGTCCATTCCTTGCCAGTCCAAACTCTTCCTCCGACAATCTCAGCAGTTCCTTCACCACCTTCCTCCTCAGATATTCTATGGGAACCACAAATCGCTTCCGATCCGTACTGTATACTACGAAGTGCCCCTTATTTGCTGCCCAGCCATTCCCATCATGATCGGATGAGTCCCTTCCACCTGGATACGAAATTCTCCCGCTGGCAGCCCTTTTCTGCCACTTCCTTGCCATCTGAATGATCCTCTGCTTCACGCTCATCATCGTTTTTGGAGGTAACTGGATCCAGAGGACTTTCAAGAAATGGATGGCTTCACTAGTCGCAAATTGCAATGTCTGAATACCCTGCCCTCGCAGGTATATATACGTATAACAAAAAAGTGTCAGTATATATACGGATATGTATATGTACGTAAAAGCAGACACACTCATATGCTTTTGCTTACCCTGTGCAATGCTGATATGGGGCATGGCCATGTGAATTGTTAAATTATTCACTTCACTTTGTTGGGTTTTGTGGTGGACAGTGTTCGTGTATGATTGAGGACAAGCTTGCAAGAAGGCGGATTTTTTCTCGGGACTAATCCGTCACAAGGCTAAGATGTTTTATTCCGGGTAACCATTCATTAACTTTTTGGGCCCGTTTACCCAAGCAACTCTAACAGTTGCTCTCGTCCGTACTCCTGAAAGTAACTTATTTGTTTAAATTAGTTGTGTACAGCCATGCAGTCTCCAAAAGGACAAAAAACGCTTACAAACAAGTGATGTAACGGCGTCGAAGGATACACAAGAAAGCCGAACATGCTAAAATATTAGGTTTATAAAAAAGGTTAAAACCTGAAGTGAAGGGTTTTGAAATGAATGAACTTCTCAAAAGTCAAAAGAGAAGCCTTTCAGAGCTATTCATAATGGATACAAAAAATTTAAAAAGAAATGAGAATCATGTCCTTTGGATTGATTCTTCCCAACGAGGTTTGGTTTATCGTCATTTGGAAATGGACTGACTTGCCTGATCTAGAGTTGTAGGCTAACGGATGAAGGGGGCAGGCTTTAGGTGGACTTTGAGGTGTTTCCAAATCCATGTTCGGATGGTGAGACTGAGAAGAAAGCTCAAAATCAACGGACACGCCAAGGTGGGCTGAACCTCAATTTCCAAAGTCACGTCCCTTGCCCAATTGTTGGGCGGAGCCGTGTCGCCAGCCACATCGCAACTTCGGGACAAACTAAGATATTTCCATGTGGAAAAAAATATTCCTCCGATCCTTTAAGACCTATGTTATCTAACATACATGCATGCATTTAGATTGTTATAATTTTAAATTTTTCTAAGTTTGCCCTTTTTTGAATGCAGGGATGGGCCGTCTTAATGAAGAAAGTACCGCCTTAGTGAAGAAAGTAAGGTAAGTATTAATTTTAATGTACTCCTACAAACATTTTGAGAAAAAATTTCTTGTATATTGAAATATACCATATCTACTTCTTAATATAAAAGTTATTTAGGAGTTGAATTTAGTCTTAAATACAAAACCTCAATTTGCATAGTCTCAAAAATTTATTTTTTTATCCAAAATGTTCATATTGATAGTAAATGGTTCCCGCCTAAAAATAATTATAATGCACATGATTAAATATGATAATTTAGATAAGTCAATATATATTTGTTATAAATAACTAATTTAATTATTTTTTTCTAGCTCTTAGGGTTGTATTAAAATATTTCTCATTATATATATAAAAGAAATATAATATTTATCAAAACACCCCTCTAATTTACTGTATTGCAAAAGCTAAAATATAATATCACCATAAAAAGCTAAAATATGCGTAACTCCCTCAGGTTAGCTACATATCATTCTTCTCGTACTTAAAGGTTTAAAACAAACCTTCTTATCCTTCCGTTGTATACTTGTATTAAGAGGGGGGGGGGTTTACTTTTCATATTTTGACTCTTAACTTCTTGCTGATATAGCCCTCAGCAGAAGATGCGCCATATAGGATTACTTGTCATGATATTAATATCCCTCATCCCTCCGTCGTCTCCCGCCCCTGACCCTCCTCTTTCTTCTCTATTATTTAGCTTGTTAAACTCAGACCATCTACTTATATTTCATCCTCCTCATGCTTCTCATCTCCATCGCCTTCTTCCTCCAAATCTGATCACTGTAATTTCTTGTTTGGGTGAGTGACAATGAACCCTACCCCCTTTTGTCCAACATGAACTCCCCTCAACTCTGTTCTTCTACCAAATTCTTATGTGTATAGAGCTATATGTGTTTGCTGCTACTGTTTTATACATATAACTAAAGCAAACATCACAAAGATTAAAAGAACAAACTTCATAAAAAAGCATCCCTTCCTGATAAAACTTCAGCTACTTTAGCCCATTTATGTGGTGACAATTCATAAGGAGCCAATTCATCCACCAAAGTCCAGGCATCCTTCTTTGTGTCATGATCTAGATGATTGTGCCATCTATAAATGTTTGGAAATTATCATGATCATGAACCCATATTTTGAAGCCAAGACATTTTTCTTTTTTTAATGTCTGACAAGCTAAAGTTGCAGGTGGAGAGAGAGGAGACGTGGAGAGGTCGGAAGACGCAAGAAAAGAGGAATCAAGGAGGAAAAAAAGAAAGTGTTATGCATGTGTGTTATAGCCTCTTAGAAATATTCTTAATTGGGTCAGACCGGCACAAAAATTATTTGTGTATTGATATCCTAAAAATATTGTTTTTGTCCTAAATTTATCGTTCATTAATTACCACCGACCATCTTAATATAATTTCAATCGTTGGTTACTAGGAGTATTTCAGTAAAACAACGTTATATGTGTACTCCAGATAATAATTCATAAAATGTCAAGTATGTATTTCATATATATATTTATATTTATATATATCTAGATAATGCTTTAAGGATTGAAATGGAGGAGAAAAGAAACAAGTGATATTGTGCTTGTAATAATTAGTCAGCAGAATTACATTATTAAATGCATATACAAGAATTACAAGAACTTTGGTGGCTCCTTGAAGAAGGAAATACCGGTGAATATCTCAGGAACAAGGTTTCCATAACGAATAGTAACCCATTTTATACAGAGAGAATAAAGCAAGTCATGCGGTTCATAATATTCAAACAACACAGATTACAGTTGCAAGCATGAGAAGAGATCCTTGCTTTTCCCATGTTGCACAATCAAAAGAACTCAGCTTGTAAATAGTCTTAACTAATATGTAAGTTGATTTCACATCTAACGAACGATTCAGTGTACCAATCATTATTAGAGGAATGACAAGGAGAACATAGATTGAGCGAGCAGGAAATTAGATGCAATAATGCAACACATCAAACAGATTGGCCAAGTCATGACCAGGCAAATGTCGCATTCCCACGAGCGTGTGATATGGGTCTGATGAATAAAAGAAGTAGAGTATTTCCTAATTAGACTCGATTGTCTGCTTGTTGTTGGTGGGACTAATTAGACTCGAAATGCAGCCCATTATATATGGGATTTGAATGTCTAATTGTGGGGATGCAGAACATAACCCTGCAAAAATACAGAGGAGTTGTGTTTGTGTTGAAGATGAAGGAAAGCAAAGAATATATGGCTGAACAAACGAAGATAATACAACTGGTCATTTGTGCTTAATTAAAAGGTTTGAATCCGCAGCGCGTCTCTCCTTTTTCTCTTCTAATACAACAGCTGGCAGTGACAAGCCAATACATGCTGTGTACCTTCAATTACGCTTTTCTCCATTTAATCTTTCTTTTCCTTCTTCATTGGTCACGTAATGAGTTGTATCAAAGTCAATGCTTGAGACTTGCAGCGCCAAAATAGCGTCATATTTATATGCTTTTTATGTTATGTTCTAAGGTAAGGTGTGGACTGTGGAGGAGACTCCGCTGGCATATATATTCATCGTTTAATATTTAATACATGTGTACAATGCTACGTACGTGATTTTATTCCTCACTCGTGTGAATTTTGATCTCATTACAATACCGTCCAAAGCAATAATGAGTTTAAAAACCGACCTCATATGTTAAACAAGATCATTAGCCAGCAGAATGGACAATGCTATTTTTAAATATTATTATGCGCATATATACCGCATCCAAGAAACAGCCAAGCAGGTATCCTAATGTAAAGGGATCAAGATTGAAGTACTTTTTTCTGGCAGCATATCGCAATTACAGAATCATGGACTGGCTTAATTCGTAAGAATAATCCCACTGAATAAAAGTCGTTGTGGGGGACGCTATTATTCAGCGATGCTTAGTTTTAGACAGCTGGATGCAACGGGCTTTGGCGCTCTGGGCCGAGGCACAGGATGGTAGTTATCAAGTTGTCTTTTTAAAGTTTGGACAACGTTGCCAAAAGCCTTTCTAATCAATCAAAGTGTTGAAAATATAGGCACTGGGAACTCAGAAACAGGGGAGAGATGGGATTAGGTGGGGGGGTTTGGTTGATATCCTTAATGGGGAAGCGTGAGTGGGACATGAGTGCAAACAGACTTGGCTCAAGCCTCATCACTGCTAGTTCAGAAGCAATCATCGTTGCTTGTCCACCAATCTTAAAAGCTTCTTTCCTTTTTGTCTTTGGGCAGCCAATAGTGTTAACGAATCACCCCGCTTGCCACCCAAGCCAACTCACCCTCCCTTTCCCTTCTTTTCCGCTTCCTATCCTTATCACCATTATTTATGCCAGCTCCTGTCAAACTGCAACTCAGTCATTGGTCCTGGTATAAAACAAATCCCCCCCCCCCCACCCCAACAAAACATAAAATTATAAAACAAAATAACATGATCACAGAGCACCAAGCCGATCCACTTCAATTTTTTAGAATAAAAGCAGCCATTCACTTTCTATATATCTTAATCCTCCTGTAGTAAAACACCGTACTTTTACTCTGGGTAAAGAAAGGGGAAATTTCCGAAAGTGCAAAAGACAAATGCCACCTGTTGCCACCGATGCTACCACAGAATCAGAAAAAGGCATGCGAAAAACTCTTCCCACTGTAATACTGCTGCTAAGTGCTAAGCAGGGCCGGTGAGCCGAGGAAGCCGCGTTCCCCAGAAAGCGTGTCCCTTTCATTCTTTCTTGTCTGAGCACTCCCACGTAGCCACAGCGTTGAAATCATACTTGTCTTCTTCTTTATTTTATTAATTAATATCTCACTTTATAAAACCCCTTTTTACTCTTTCACTTTGAAACTATGCTTATCTGTTCTCCTCCTCCACACTCCTCCTTTCTACCCTCTATT